ACCTACGGCGCCGAAGCGCATAGTATAGCAACTGCGCCACCGAATCATTTGTGTTGCGAAATCACGAACATGAATTACTAACATAGAGTAGTTCGCCCGAGTGGGCGTGGACTAGCCTCACGGCCAAGGTCGGACCGTCAATCCACTTGGCCGCCGTATTGACCTACAAACATCGAGATCGGAGAAGCGGCAGCTTATTTCGATACGATGAGAGACCACGCCGGCTTATTTTTTCAAACGAGCTGTTCTTTTAATATTCGTGGAGCTACTACTATTCTGCTATGTTAATAGTTTCTATTGGTTACGAAAGTAATAAGTTTTTTTTTATGTCTGTCGTAATATTTTAAATAGAAATCGCGAATTCTTTTTATGGGTTTTTATCGTTAGCGAGTGGCATTTTGTAGTTCATCGACTCCATATTATATACCTTAAGTAGATGCTAATCAAATAGATATAGCTACCTTAAGTAGATGCTAAGTTTTAATTTATGTTTAGTTGAACTTTACGCCGATGTTAATATTAGAAGATACGGATCGCGCCTTCGTTACATTTTCCTTTAATGTATTTTCATTTACAAGCATAGACTTTCCACGAGAAACATGAGTAATATAAATAAACGGACGCCTGATTTATTTTTAAGCGGCATTATCTTCAGGAAATGTTGTTCTCGATAACTTGTTTTTTTCCTCGTTTGCGTTACGATTGATGCGCATTAGATTTTTTTACGCGTAACCTTGAAACCGATCTGATTAGCCTGTTTGTGTTATGAGTTGTAGTGAGATAGCTGAATATGTAAATGGAATAGAATGTAAGACAAACGTCAAGTTTAAACATTTTGATAGCACTCATAAATATTAGTCACATAATTTAATAGCATTTTGATTGAACATCAAGCGTTACTTATTTTTTTTTAATTTGAGATAGCAAGCAGCAGCTGGCGGTTCATCTAGTAAGTGATAACCGTCGTCCATTGATAATTACTACACCCGTAGGAATGCAGGTACGTTGTCACCTTATAATAAAGTGGGCCCCGGCTACGCCAGACGTAACGCAGAAATATATAACTTCACGCCTGTCTTCTGTGAGGTCGTGGTACTTTCCCGGACGGCGCTGTCCCTTCGTGCGTACAATTTATTTCCTAATATTTCAATTTATTTTGACCTCACAGAAGACCAGCGTAAAGTGAAAGTATGTCAAATACTTTCGCGTTTCGTTTGGTGAGTGAGGTAGCCAGAGCCCAATTTTCAAAAAGGTTGTCAACGCATCTGTAACCCTTGGGTGTAGCAGATGTCCATGGGCGACGGTATTCACTTACCGTCAGGTGAACCGTCTGCTCGTTTGGCAACTTTTCACATAAAAAAAAGACCTTCGTCTCCGGAGATACATCACGGAACTCCTCAAAACCAAATAGAGAATGTATAATGGGTGAGATATTTAAAGTCGGTCGGTTTTGATTTATGTTAGTAAAAATGAACTTATAATGTTTGCCATTTAAACACGTGGTGATTGGGATCTCCACTATGAATCAATCTATGGTGTTGCTGTTGTGATATCGTTTTGCTGCCATGGGTTATTTTGATTGGTAGTGTTTATCACGTAACCAGTCTCGGGCATGATCATCGCCTTGCCGATATAGTTACGTATTTGCGCGGCCTTCCGAAGCGGTGACTCATCTAGTGGCCCCTCTAGTGCGCAGTGCAAACGGCACACAACAGCTAACGGCGTGGTGTTTATTGAGAATCACATATGTGCGTGTTTTTATTAGACACCACACTCCAACATGTATCAATAGTGAAAAATCGACACATTTAGTACGGTTCGATCGAAGGTCGAATACAGGTGCGTTTTTATTCTGATGCCGATAATACGCGTCTTTAACACTTTATACGTTTAGGTATTGTGAGTCGTCTTATTAAATTAGTACGTTATTAGAGTTTTATGTTCGGCTTGGAACAGCTGGCATATTATTTGTAGGTTACATATTTGTTAGTTTTTTTTTACATTTATTAAAAGAACATAATAATGAGCATAAATATCTTCTGTAATTCTGGTGGTTGAGGTACCGCCCGCATTCTTATAAGGTGGCTACTGGTGATGATGTAGCAAATGTCAATGGGCGGCGGTAATCGCTTAACATCAGGCGAACCGTCAGCTCGCTTGCCACCTTCACATAAAAAATAATAATTACTTGTCGCTTGGTCTGAATCGCGCCGTAATCCATCTTAAAAAAAAAGTAAAATAAAGTAATGGCCTATAAATGTCCCACTGCTGGGCAAATGCCTCCTCTGTAAAGATCAGGCATATCAGGGCATAGTCAGGTTACATAACGTCTTACAAAATGCCTTACATTTGTCGTGCGTTTTCAGAATACAACCTCTAAATTTGAAGGTATATATTTTTATTTCGGTTATTTTGGGTGTCAGTCGCCTTCAGAGATTTCTACTTCTTACTACCCTGGATATATGGAGTAGCTCGGGTGTAGTGGCTGGTATGGGCGGTTTAACAACTTTACATCTGTCGAACAGCTGTTGTCTTCATTTGCTACCTTGTATCATAGAAATAAGTATGTACCGTTAGCAGATTCGTCATGTTTACAAGTCTATACTAAATTATGTCTTTCTTCGCGTCTATGTAAAACTAGCGAACCGCCCCGGCTTCGCACGGGTGTAATGTATTATACATATAAACCTTTCTCTTGAATCACTCTACCTAGTAAAAAAAAACCGCATCAAGATCCGTTGCGTAGTTTTAAACATCTAAGCATACATATACATAGGGACAGACAGACAGCGGGACGACTTTGTTTTATACTACTGCCGCCTACTTAACGTCTACCCTCCTTGGGAACAAACACCCAGATCGGGAACAATCACGTGTGTGGTCAAAATCAAAATCAAAAACATATTTATTCACATAGACGCTTGCGCGTTCTTATGAAATGTCAAAAATTTTACATAAAAAATAATACGTTCGTAAGTTACCACCGGTTCGGAAAGCAGTTTCTGTTGAGAAGAAACCGGCAAGAAACTCAACAGTTGCTCTTTTTTAAAACGATTAGTTTACAATATAATAGAACAAGTATGTCATTTTAGCCTACGTGAGTATCAACAGCATTAACCCCACACATTGGCGTCGTCAAGATACTCTGCAATGGTATAATATGCCTTAGCCATAAGTTAGCGTTTAATTTTGCGTTTAAATTCATTTAGTGGCAGACTTAATACCGATTTTGGGATTTTATTATACATGCGCACACTTTGCCCCATGAACGATCTATTTACTTTTTTTTAGACGAAACAATGGTGTAATTAATTTGTCCTTATTTCTAGTATTTAATTTATGTCTGTCACTATTCTTTAGATAACAATTAAGATTATGTCTAACGTACAAGATATTACAATAAATATATTGGGACGCAACAGTGAGTATATTAATCAGAGATATTTCGGAGTGTATCTCTGAGTGTATAGTACAAAAATACTTGTCCAGTGTGCGAATCGAATCCACGACCCGCGGCGCCGAAGCCAATGTTGAAGCAATTTCGCCACCGAGTCGTCATTATCGTTAAATCATTTCTGTGATGTGTTTTGTATGGACGCAAACTTTTCAACTCGGGAAGATCGAGCGCTTGAAAGGCGTCCATTTACATCCATATCGTTAAGAGCTTTCCCATCATTGAGCCCCGAAGGCAAGGGAACCGAGGATTCTCTATCGTCTAAAGACTATAAAAGCTTTTAGGCAAAGTTCAATTCGATAGGGGCTGAAATTTTTGCGCGAAGAAAATTTTTTATTTACGCCGTACGTCGATTAATGTATTATTGAGCTTCGGGCGAAAATCAAATTATTAACGTTCACTTTGTTTCTTATTTAAATGGAAACCTTTTCTATCCATACTAATGTAAGAAAATATATAAGTTTGTGCTCTCTATACATTTATGTTATGACCGTTAAAGTAGGTAGTATCTTTTAAAACTTACAGAAAGAAACTGCGATCTATAACATTTCTATAAAAAATTATGAATTATTTGCGAAAAATTATTTATAAAAACTGGTACAATTCAGTTCTTATAAATAGTTGAACTGAATGATACACGAATGTACGTTATATACTGTATAATGACATACAGTTAACTAGATATGTTGTAAACTGTAATATTATACAACTATTTAAAGAAATATTCTTATAGTAGGACTAATATAACATTGTATTGACTAAAGTTTTGATACCGAGTTTTGAATATCTTCATGTTAATTTTTCAAAGGTGATTTTTGTCAGAATGCCATAACTTTCCATAATTATTCATAAAATTAATGATGGTTAACACTATTTTGAAGCTTATGTTTCCCGCTTTTAAAATTAAGGTTTTCATAAAAAATAATCTTTTCAAAATTTCTTACATAGAATGTATGATAATGCCGTCTATTGAAAATTTGTTTAAATCAAACAAAGCGAAGTAGACTGAAAAAAGGTTTTCTTCAAAATAAGACATCTTTCATTGATTACTTATTTGTATACTATGACATTAACGTTCGGTGACCAATCACGGTTTTGTGAAAAAATTTCTCACTTGTCATCTAGTCTTTTCATAGTTCACTAGCGGGTCCGACAAACAGTTGTCCTGTGTACATATCTTAAATCCGACAACAATTTTAAAAATCAAAAACAAAATTTAATGGACCTAATTGTGAATATAAACCATTCTCGAATCCACTTAAACCCAAACACATATTTCATCAAAATCGGTCCAGCTGTTTAGGAGTTCATTCACATACACACGCGCGACATGCATATTTATGACATCCATCAATATGATTTTTCGGATTGAGAAATTTGTCAGGTATCGGGTTAATTATATAACGATGTGACGACATTAGCTTTTTCTACACCATTAAGATTGTAAGGCGAGCTAAATCGATCGATCACCGCTCGCGTTTGCCGCCAAATCCGTTTCTCGGTACAGTTGGCGCCGTGTGCGCGGCGCGCGTCGTAGCAGACCGGGATGATTAATATCCGGCCGCGGAAGGTCGGCGCGATGACGTCACTTCTGCGCGCCGCCACTTCCGGCGCCGTACGTGGGACGTTCGCTGTACGAATCGACGCGCGCCACGCCAACGCAGATTATTTGATCGAATCGGTCGGGTAATTCCTTTGCCGATGGATATTTGAATCGGCCGAGTAATCCTTTCTTCACGCCGACGTATATTCCAATCGGTCGGATTATTTTTCTTCACGCCGATGAATATTCGAATCAGCCGAGCTGTCCTTTCATTGGCCGATCTGAAGCCCTCCGATTCCAGGCAGAAACAGATTAACGAAAAGTCAGACCACTAATTTAAAGGGCTGATTGCCACGCCGATGAAAATCTCAACAACTGTAACACTAGTTTATCTACATTGTTCTTTTCGCATTTAAAGCATTAATGTAGCAGAGAATCCTGCGTTCATTAGTTAGTAAGAAAATAATACTTTCTTTTTACATCGCTGTATTGCTTGAAACGTTTCTATCCCTCTAGTTGTTTGGGTTATCGATCAAAGAATTATTTATAAGGCTTAAATGTTTTGTTTTTCTGAAACATCAGTATTTATTTTGCACATATTTGTGCATCTCTCACGGCGATTTTGCCGGTCATTACATTCATTTCGGGTCAAGGAAGGCCACCTTGAACGTTTTATGTGAACGATGAACACATCGTATTATGTTTTGTATGTAATAAAGGCTTTGTCTGATGTTAATTGCATTGTTTTCGTGAGAGTCCGAGTGTGGGTCCGGAAGTGGGAGATTTTATTGCGTCTTGTTTGGTCTTAAAAGGAAACGATGAGAAATAAATTTGGTGCGGCAAAACTACGGCGGACGTGTGTTTAGCGGTCGAGATGGTTCGACGGTAAAAGTAGTTAAAAAAAACGAATCTTCTGGTTGCGAATGGAAAATGGAGTGAGAATGGAATTTTCATACATCGTGGTAGTCTGTTGGGGGAGGCCTGTGTCCAGCGGTAGACTTTAACAGGCTGAAATGATGATGGTGATGATGATGATACGTCATACTTGACGATTTATGTTATTTTATTGAATATTTCTTTGGCTTATGCATGCTTTTTTACGAGCTTCTCAGATTCTCAGTTCGCAGATTCTTTAAGGTTTAATAAATTATTTTATTTGCCCTTTTAGACAATTAGGAATTCCCCTTTTATAAAATCGTATTTCGTGCCGCGTCTACCGCGTACCTTTTATCGTATTGTCTTGTAATTATTGTTATCTGAAGATTTAGGTTAGTAGGATAATGACGTTTACCATTAATGTTCCATGTTAAGGTCACATATTTGAATTATTTTACATTATTTGCTACATTTTTTGGCTGTGCAGTAAATTGCTTTAAGTATTGGATATGTCGGCAATTTAAACTTTAATAAAAGGCTATCAAATCCGCAAAAATAGTAATATTCCATAATGTATAGCAAATGTAAATACATAAGTCGTTGCCAACTAGTATACAATTTTTTTAAAAAATATACGTAAAATCTGCCCCAGCGCAACACCCATTATGCTCATAATACTGGCTGCAATTAAACCGTGTCGTAATTCAGTGCAATATTCCGAATGGTGCGCCAGCTCCCTGGGCACAATAGCATTGTCCTATTTATCGGGTTCATCTCGCTGTTCGCGCCGTTCGCCATTTAGGTATGTAGGTTATGGTGTTACGACGGGCAATACGTCCGCGTAGCTTGCGGGGCCATGTTCTGGCCAAGCGTAAGCTGTGCCTGTCGAGCTTGTTTGACCTAGTGAAACGTTTATTTAAAGGTCTTGGCGCTTGATTATTTCCATCTGATGGTATAAGCCGATGCAACCGTAGATGGTTAAAATACTAATAAAAGATAAGTATTTTACAGGTACAGTAGTCTGTTAAAGTCTCTCTCGACTTGAAGACACATTCATTACTTGCTTCTCTTGTATTTGCTCTCATTTTCTCTTCCATTGTTACCTTCGTTGGCGGTGGCCAAAAAGACTTAGAAAGCCTACTTTTAGTTTTGTTTTGCCGGCAGTTGTTTTTCAACTCAACTGAAGCGAATGATATTATCATTATCGCCTCAATTCCCCTCAATAAGTTTTCAACTAATTACATTTACCAAAATAGATACGAGGGCTCTAAGGAGTTCAAACTTGGATTCGAGTTACAATCTTAATTTAGATCGGTTGTTGTATCCGAGAAGGGCGTTTTGTTTCGGGTTGTTAAGTGTTGGAGTTTGGCACGTCACCAAGCGACGTATGTCTTAACTAAACTCACCGACACATTACAAAATTGCGTTAAAAATTATTAAAATCTTATAATGTTATGAACATCAATGTACATATAAATAATTATTTATAGGTCGAAACCATACTTCGCGTTTCAACCTACTCTGTGCTATAAATATTCAAAAGTAGATAGTGTACTATAGAGTAGTAAGTTAGTTATGAATGTCGGTTTATACCGTTTAAGGGAAGCCAGAATTGACATTGTTACGAACTCCGGCCTACATACTTGCCTCTAGGTAGAAATATGTCATCGAGCTTCAAATCAGTCTTCTTCAATCTTGCTGAAAATCAGTTTGCCTTCTACAAGGGCGTTCGACTATCGACGATTGTGAAAATGCAGGTATCCCTAACTAAAAGGATTTTTACACGTTAAAAAAAACGGTAGAAATTTTTATCGCTGGCCCACCTTACGACGTTACTAATTATTCGTTTCCAACAGAATTTGATGGTTAAACACGTGGTTCATAATTGAGGGCACTAAAATTAATTTGCAATTAGGATACGAGACGCGTATAATATCGAAGCGCAAAAATGCTACGGCACGGCTGACTTATTACCCTAGATCTTTAGAATGAAGGCGACCCAATTAGTTAATTGCTGTCTGGGCTTGGATGCTGTTATGATTTATTTTCTTAGTATTTAAGTGGATTTAGAAAAATATAGATCTTCTCTGCTATGAAATGGGATAGTAATATTTTTTGTAGTTGTTTAAATGTATTAAGAATAAATACAAATTATATTTCGTATAACTTACTGTCGTATTTATTGGAATTAAAAATTCATCCTCTCCGCATACTCTAAGGTTCGTTGATTTTATTTCTTCCTTTGTTCTTGTACTTTAATGATAAATTTTAAATTGCATAACACTTTTATACAACGTTACACGAATTTAAATGAAAATTATTATTTTTTTGCTTCGGGCTCTATTGCTTTATTGTTTTTTTCTGTTAAATAACTTGTGTTCTTTTTAAAAAATATTTTCTTTAACGGTTGTTGTAGGTCTTTTTTTTATTAAACTATATTTTTTACGATTTATCGATTAAAGTGGTATAAATATATAAGCTGATTTCAATTTAGAGATAACACATGAAATAAACTTTTTTGTAAATCTTAACAGCAAATGTTTAAGATCTTATAGTAAGTGTTTAGTGTGTTTAGTTACTCTTTAAAGTTTTATTATTATTAATAATAACTTAAATAACTTAATAACTTCTCGCACTCTTGTGTAAATTTCGGTGTTAATTTGTGACTTTCCACTCGGAGTTGAAATATAAGCACCAACGCTGTATTGCGAATTCGGGAGGTTATTCCGCGGGTCCCGGACGTCATAAACAAACGTTTTGTGGACGGAAATTCGATGGAACGCGAGTTGTTGAGCACTCCTCGACGAAATTTCAACAATTCTATGCAAAGCTCTGCATTTGCTTCTTGTGTATATTTATTAATTGATAGACCACCAACGGAATAATATGTTGTTTTGTAATAAAATCTGACAATAGTCTTAGGAACCGAGATTTACATGTTTCCATTTAACGGTAGTTACAGCATGTTTAAAAAGACGATAAGTGTACGATAACTTAATAATTGTTACAAGTACGAGTAAAATAATAATATGAAACAAAAAAAAAACAATAAGATAAATATGAAAATTAAAAATTTATAAAAATAACATTTTCGGATTTGATATCGAGTTAATATAAAATTATGGTAGCATTTTTTCTTGGAATTATAAAATAGATTGACAATTTTGTCTGTAAAAGTTTTTTGATGTATTATCTTATTTATGCCTTTTCTTTCTATCCGCTTTTTTATTGTATTGCTGCACGAACAAACGGGCTTCTCCGTGGAAGTACCACCGCCTCATAGAAGGCTGGCGTAAAGTTCCCGTTTAGTCTAGCGAGTGAGGTAACCGAAGCTCACATTTTAAAGGATTGTTAACGCATCTGCGAGCCCTCTGGTGTTGCACACGTAACACAGTGCAATAGGCGGCGGTATTCACTTAACATCAGGTGAACCGCATGACAAAAAAATATGATATTAGGGCCCGTGTAGCGACCGAACTCGCAACAAGGCGTATAATGGCAGATGGCGTGATAATTTAAAACTATTGCGTCATGTTGTTAAATATTCAAACACTAACGAGTAGTAACATACATACAGTTGTAGTGATAGTTCATATATGGAAATGTAAGTTTGTCTTTCTCTACATATTGATTAATTTACATTGTTGTGTTGTGTTTGTTTTGTTATATTTCATGGCAACACTTACAAAGTCAATTATTCTCGTATACATAATCTATACAAACAAATAAAATGATATAGGCCGGCTGTTGGGTGGTCAGTGTAAAAGTACTGGATAGATTTCAATTATATTTTTTTAAAAACATTGCGCTTGCTTTAGCATAACATTATCCTGTGTTCTAAGGACGTTTTACGTACATAAATTTCACCTCGACAAACACACAGATCCGAAACAACTATCACGCAAATATTTGTCCCGTGTGAGAATCGAACTCATAACCCATGGTACTGAAGCCGTAACTTGGCGACTGCACCACGGAGCCAATTGTTCAATCAACTAATTGTTCTAAGTATTATTTCTTAGACACTTAGCTCTTTACTAAAAAACAAATAATGTGATATCTCAAAGTTATAAAAAAGTTATTAAAGTTTGAAGAAAAAATGATTTTTATAAAGCGTATTCATTGATATGCTTTATGAAAATTATGATTAATATAATAAGCACTGCAGGCGAAATCGAAATGTTAAGACGGCTGAACTCGCGTTCAATCGAAGTATGTGCCAACTAGTTTCGGACTTATTGGAGGTCCTTCATTACGGTGAGTGGGATGAGTTCGCGGTCGCGCTGTGTCTCACACTTCGCGAGATTCTTATTATTTCGTTAATAATCTCTAACGGAATATTTTAATAATTTTATATTAGTATCTCTATATAAAATGAGACGCGAAGGAACGTGCTAGATGACGTAGACGGAACCTGAACATACCCGCATAGACGGCTTGCCAGAATGTGAAATCA